TCAAAGCCTACACCTACTCCTACTCCTAACCCTAAACCTAAACCTAAACCTAACCATAATGATATTGAAAAAACTGAACATCACCAAAAGGTCTGTTAATGATTTGAGTATCTGTAGAGTGACACTTTATTTGCATGGCCCACTGTAGAGGCTTTCTAAACGCTCCCCAGTTCCACTCAGCACAGAGAGCAGAACTAGAGTTAAACCCTGTAAACGTTCTACAGGAGGCGCGAATGAAGACGTTTTTGCTGCGTCCTCTTTCTGTTCAGAGTCTCTCCATGGAAAAGAGGGAGGAGCTGGAACAGAATGAGCATCATCACTTAACCATGTGTGAGTTTTGAACACACTGACAAGGCAAAGCACAGATCCAGATGTTCTGCAGGAGATGATGTTCTAATGCACTGGATTTGGATATTTGTGTCATATTTATGTCAGTAATGTGAGAGAAAATGAAGATGAGTGTTCCTGTAAACGGTGGGTTCTCTGTTCTGGTGGAACAAGCTGTAAATCAGCGGAGCTTTACGGTTCTCCACGTTCAGTCAACAGACCCATCGACATCATCTACAAACGGAACTGGTGGTTTATTCTAAATTTACCATTAAACACAAACACAAATGGTTTCTATATTATAATTGTACATTAAGGTTGTTTTCAGAATATTTGACTTAATAAGAAATGCATTAGGCTGAATGAATAACTGACTCTAAATGTAGGTATTGTGATATAAACTGAGTCTGTTCTACAGTTTCTCATTAGGCTGAATGAATAACTGACTCTAAATGTAGGTATTGTGATATAAACTGAGTCTGTTCTACAGTTTCTCATTAGGCTGAATGAATAACTGACTCTAAATGTAGGTATTGTGATATAAACTGAGTCTGTTCTACAGTTTCTCATTAGGCTGAATGAATAACTGACTCTAAATGTAGGTATTGTGATATAAACTGAGTCTGTTCTACAGTTTCTCATTAGGCTGAATGAATAACTGACTCTAAATGTAGGTATTGTGATATAAACTGAGTCTGTTCTACAGTTTCTCATTAGGCTGAATGAATAACTGACTCTGAATGTAGGTATTGTGATATAAACTGAGCTGTGTTCTTGAGTTCCCCAGAGCTCATTCATCTTCATTTAATATGATATCTAGAGTGAATGGCTGATATTAGTAGGTAATTATCGTTTGACCAGTCCATTTGGAGGAAACCGTTTTTTGTTTATTGTTGTTATTGTTTTACTGTGGAGTTTCTGAGCTGCTTTTACCTTCCAAACACACAGACAGACTGCAGCAGTATGTGTTGCCATGGAGACTGGGTGGGTGGAGCTTTCTCCACCATGGCTTTCCATTGGCTGAACGGGCTGTAGGCTAGACTCAGGGTGCGTTCAACACCTCTTTGATTCATGAACATGCTTTATATATATATATACGTCAATCAGGCGTAACATTCTGACCACCTCCTTGTTTCTGCGCTCGTTGTCCATTTTATCAGCTCCACTTACTATATAGGTGCACTTTGTAGTTCTACAGTTACAGACTGTAGTCCATCTGTTTCTCTGATACTTTGTTAGCCCCCTTTTACCCTGTTCTTCAGTGGTCAGAACCCCCATGGACCCTCACAGAGCAGGTACTATTTGGGTGGTGGGTCATTCTCAGCACTGCAGTAACACTGACGTGGTGGTGGTGTGTTAGTGTGTGTTGCGCTGGTGCAAGTACATCAGACTACTTTGTCAGTTCACCTTGTAGATGTAGAGTCACAGACGATAGCTCATCTGCTGCTGCACAGTTTGTGTTGGTCATCCTCTAGTCCTTCATCAGTGGTCACAGGACGCTCTTCATCAGTCTCAGCTCATTTTTGAAGGATTTGCAGGAAGAGCTGTGATGTGTGTATTCATATTTAGCACTACTCCTTATTTGCTGTACAGGATAATTTTATCAGATTCACATCCATGCAGCTTTGGAGTCAGTGAAGTCTGACCAGAGAGGGCGCTGTTTCTGTTAAAGTAGTTCTCGTTCACATTTCAGCCAATTCAATAACTAAAGCGTTTAAAGCTTAGTGTGTGTTCAGGGGCGAGTCTTCATCTCAGACCACAATAAATCAGAACCAGAACCAGGACTGATGATGCTACAGTTGATTACTGCACTTAATCAGCTAGATTTAATCTCACAGTGAGTTATTTTAAAAGCTTATTAACTTCAGATACTCCCACTGAACTGATTATACAGTTTCCATATTGATATAAACAGTATATGGACGTTTTAATTAAGGTTGTGCTGACTGAGCAGTTATTGAGGCTTTTCACATTGTTTTTATTGTTATGTTATTGTTTTTGAATGAACTGAAGAAGTGAGCAGGAGATAAAGTGTGTAATAACAGACGTCCTGCAGCGCTAATATTCACGTTAATGTGAAACTACTGTTACTATGAATTAAGGAGAAATAATAAGAAAATAACATTTTGAATGTTAATAACAGAAAAGAGAGTGTGGCTGTGGATGTGGATGGGTGCACGCAGTGCAGTGTGGGATAAAAATAGTGCTACTGAATAGAAACCCACATAAATATTAATGAATGGAGGGAAGACTTTGTTCCCGCAGAGCTAAATAAAGCTTCACTGGGTTAAAAATATCCCTCCGTGTGTCTGTAGTGGTTCCTTCAGCTCGGCTGGGGAGGTTTCCTGCGATGGGGGTATTTTTAGCCCAGTGGAGCTGCAGAAACTACTACAGAACACTGAGCTGGAAGCAGCAGAGCTATTTATAGATCAGAGGAGCTTCAGATAGCAACAGAAAAGCTCTGATGTGTGAGCATGAAAGAACCCCCCCCCTCCCCTTTATGAATGAAGGAGGTTCTGCTCTGACTGATTATGTAATTCAGTGTAAAACACATTCAGCTCACATGAAATACATGTGAAGCACTGAGCTTATTCAGGTCCTGAGCTTAATCTGTGTCCCAGTACTTACTGACATAATTAACTTCATCGTTTTATAATAAAAGGTACAGTACTGCTTCTTTGACACTAAGTATTCATTTGCCATTTTAACTTGGTATTGATATTAAATTACACAATCAAAGGTCTCTGCCTTTTGCACAGTATGTAAACAAACGTGTTTGTTTGTTAAGCGTGTTTAAAACCAAAGTGCCGCTCACAGCTGACCAATGAAACCACATATTAGCAAATACACAGAGACATGTATACCAGTTCAAAATGATAACTGGTAAAAATGTGAGACAGTTTGATACAGTGTGAGGTAGTTTGGTGCAGTGTCAGAATCTGATATAGTGTGGGACAGTTTTGTGCAGTGTGAGATGGTTTGATGCAGTGTGAGACAGTTTGATACAGTGTGAGACAGTTTGGGGCAGTGTGAGAGTTTGGGGCAGTGTGAGACAGTTTGGGGCAATGTGAGATGGTTTGGGGCAGTGTGAGACAGTTTGATACAGTGTGAGACAGTTTGGGGCAGTGTGAGATTGGTGCAGTGTGAGGCGGTTAGACATATTGTGAGACAGTCTGATACAGTGTGAGACAGTTTTATACAGTATGAGACAGTTTGGGGCAGTGTGAGAGGGTTTTGTGCAGTGTGAGACAATTTGATACAGTGTGAGACACTTTGAGGCAGTGTGAGACAGTTAGACAAATTGTGAGACAGTCTGATACAGTGTAAGACCGTCTGATACAGTGTGCAACAGTCTGATACAGTGTTCGACCGTCTGATACACTGTGCAACAGTCTGATACAGTTTGAGACAGTTTGATACAGTGTGAGACGATTTGATACAGAGAGAGTTTGAATCATGAATTAATTTCAGCTTGAATAAGAACTTAGCTGAATAACTGAATCACTTCAGGAGAAACAATTCAATTTACAGAATTTACAGTGCTCACGAGAAACAACACTGTGGATGTACAAACTTGTACACAGATGCAGTTTTTGCAGGTGTGTAAGTGAATGCATTGTGAATGAATGTGGACGTGTGTCAGGTCAGTGTTTTGGAGTGTCCGGCTGTGATGCTGAGTGTAAATGTGATTAAAGCACAGAGACAATAGAACTTTAAATTAGGTAAAACGTGGCTGACTAAGGCCGGTACTTCCTCAGTCTTGGAAGCAGTCGGGGATTCTGGGAGAGTGTGTGTATACGCAGACTGTCCAGCACAATTGACCTCTTTACCTGAGCATTGTGTTTACACACCTCTACGTCACTGAGCTGTTCATATCTCAGGACTCCCCTCAGAGCGACTCACAGATACACTGAGACAGAAAAACACCCTCAGCCTCATTCGTTCAGCATCACAGCAGGTCTAACAGAAGAAAGCTGCTGTGTTGCCTGTAGATCAGATGGTTCTAGTGGATTGTTCTACTGAAATGTCTGTCATTACTCTCAGGCTAGGGTTATGGTTAGATTAGGGTGGATCAGGTGCTCTGATGTGATGTGATGTCATTCTTACTCTACTACTATCACAGAATGTTTCTGTGTATTCTGAGTCAAAAGGTTTTCTCTAGTTGTCCGATGGAGCAGCCACACAGTACAATATCCATCATTTTACTTTGTAGTAAGCAAGCATAATGTCAACAAACTGTTTTGAGATGTTTTTCTTGGGGAGTCATTTTTTTGTACAAGATTCATGATTGGTGTATTGTCACGTGTATTTAGAATACAGGGCATAAAAAATACACTGAAATACTTATGCTGGAGCAACATGCTTCTACAAGTACAAATACACATTTATATACTGGTTCTATATTATAACATTCTTATCATATATTAAAGGTACTGTGACTGTTAGTCTGTGTTATAGTTTCTCAGATATGTTCATCTTATCTACCATGGATGGAATTCAAGTGCTGTCCAGCTCACAATGGCTAATGGTTCGCTAACAGTCCCTTTTCCCTTCTTTTCTCTACAGCAGTCTTACAGAAGGACAGAATATCTGGACACTGTAATGTAACAAAGGTTTTTCTGTGGAGTTCTAGGTCAGGAGTTCTAACCGCTCTGTGTTCCTCTGTTCTCCAGTTTTGATGCAGAGAATGGCCTGTGTTTGGGCCGCAGTTCTATGGACCCTCAGGGTGGTTCAGGCTCGGGGGTGGTCCTGCAGGCCAGCGTCCCCCACAGCCAGCGCCGGGAATCCTTCCTCTACCGCTCCGACTCCGACTTCGACCTTTCACCCAAAGCCACATCCCGCAACTCCTCTGCAGCCAGCGAGCTGTGAGTACTGACCTCTTCTTCTGACCTCTGTCCGTTCAGCTACAGAACAGGAGGGAGGTTCTTTGGCTGAGTGGTTCTCAGTGTCTGTCCAGATCTGTCTGCAGAACCAGAGAATCAGAAGTGGGTTCAGGACTGGACCTGAGAATCACTACATTCCTGGATATTTACATACTGTTTTTCATGTTTTTCTTCTTACAAACCTACAAGTTGCCATAGTAGGTAAAGTGTAAATGAATTAGGACCTTTATATTCTTTGTCCTATAAATGTAAATAAACACAAATAAGAACAGAAAGCAGTGATTGATAAATCTATTTTGACCTTTATTTGAACAAAAATGGTACAAAGAGAACATATTTAATGATTTACGTTATTAACTTAATTGTTTTTGTAAATATACACTCAGCTCACACTTTCTGGAACTGCAACATGTTCCAGAAGAAAAGTTGTGACAGGAGAATTTAGAACTAGGAGCATTTTGAAATGTTCAAAAAACATCCTAAACATCTTGTACAGGTGATGTAATCATGCTTTGGTATGAAAGGAGCATCCAGGAAAGGCAGAGTTCTATATGAGTGAGGATGGTTGAGGTTCGTCACTTTGCCAGAAATGCATCAGCAAAAAATCCAACAGTTGAAAAATAACAGTCTACAGCAAGTGATTGTATGGATTTTAGGTATTTCACCCTCTACAGTGCAGAATATCATCAAAAGATTCAGAGAATCTGGAGAAATCGTGGTGTGTAAAGGAAAAGGCTGAAAACCACACCGGAATGCTTGTGACCTCCGACACCTCAAACAGCAGTGCATTCAAAACCAGCATGCTTCTGTGATGGAGATCACCACATGGGCTCAGGAATACTTTGACAAACCATTGTTGGTAAGCACTGTCCATCTCTGAACCCACAAATGCAGGTTAAAACTGTATTCTGCACAGCGGAAATCACATATCAACAACATCCAAAAACGCCGCCGACTTCTCTGGGCTCAAGCTCATCTGAAATGGACTGATGCTCAGTGGATATGTGTATTGTGGTCTGACGAGTCCACCTTTCAGATTGTTTATGGAAATAATGGATGTTGTGTTCTCCAGAAAAAGAAGAAAAAGAACATCCAGATTGTTACCAGCGTAAAGTTCTAAATCCAGCGTCTGTCATGGTGTGTGGGGGGGGGCTATTAGTGGGTAACCTGCACATCTGTGAAAGCTCCATTAATGCTAAACATATTTTGAAGCAATATATGCTGCCTTTTAGACGTCGTCTTTTTCAGGGATGTCCATGTTTATTTCAACATAAAGATGTATAAGCATGGCTGCATAATCAGAGTGCAGAAGCTAGACTGACCTGCCTGCAGTCCAGAACTGCCTCCCACTGAAAATGTGTCTTTTAAACTCAAAATATGACAATGCATGGTTTCACAGCTAAAGACTGTATAACAGAAGAATGTCAAAAACTTCTGCCTTGAGAGAGAAACCTTGAGAGTCTGTTGCTGTTAATGGAAAGATGATGTAACACAGCGGTGAACATGCTCCTGTAACTTCTTCTGAATGTGTTGTAGACATCAAATTTGGAATGAGTGTATATTTACCAAAAGGAGTAGTTCATAAGATAAAACATCAAATATTGTGTTTTTGTAAATGAATGTAACACAGATCAAATAGAATTTACTAATCACAGCCCCCCTTTTTTACTAGCATTTCACACACTGTCCCAACATCTAATGCTACAGAAATATTCTAGTGATGCCCTTTTTTAAACAGTGCAAATTTAAACTATTCAGTAACAGCACTAAAAATAAAAAGTAAAAATAAAGATTAAAAATATAGGTGCCATTTAGGGTTCTTTGGTGCAATGCCTTACAAGAACCATTTTGGTTCCCTAAAGTCTTAAAAGAACTATTTGGTGAATGAGATTTATGAGTATGAAGTGTAAAGAATCTCCACATGATCTAAAAGTTCTAGGAAGAACTCTAAACCCTTTATGTGAAGGTTCTTCACATTCTCAATTCTGACCTGGTTCTTTAGGGAGCCAAAAGAGGTTCTTCTATGTCATCACTCCGCGTCACCTTTATTTAAGAGTGTACCTGGACTACAGAGCAAACTGGCATTGACGTTAGTAGATGTTTGGACCTGCCAGTCAGGGTTAATCCATCTATGCTGCTGTCTGATATGCAGTATATGGTGGAGAGTTGTATAGAGACTGTAGTTAACCTGAGCTGCAGGTTATTCTCTGGGTTTAAAGTCTGAAAAGGGTATTTTCAGCTCACACTGTCCTGCTGACAGTATGTTATATTCAATAATATCACTGAGTTTGGAAACTAAAGCCCAGTTTAAAGTCTCAGTGTATTAATGATGCAGGGATTAGACACATTGTTCCACCATGTTCTAAAGCTGCTCCACATCTACCCACTTTAGTTTGTGATGAATCAGCTGTTCTTGTGTTTTAAAGGGAAGAGAGTCTGAAGCACTGGGAGGTGAACTGGCTGAGCCGGTGAGGAGGATATTGACGAATATTGAGTATTGAATATTGACCCTGGACTGTCCTCTAATCCCTAAATCCACCTGCTAACTGGTTCCTGCTCCTGCACCCACCTGAACTCAGAGCCCAGTATTACAGTTTGGACCAGAGGTTCCCACCTGGTTCTCAGGGCTCACCAGATGGTCCGCATTGTCTTTATCCCTCTGTGCTGTGAGTTGTATGGGATGGGCCGTCTGAGGGGCTCTGAGGACAGTGCTGGGAGCCGCTGGTGAGGCTATATCTTGATTAGAAACTGTTTACTGGAGCTTTATCAGGAGTGCACAACAACACTCTGAACCAGGGGAACAATTTTACTTATATAGCACCTTCCTCAAGGAGAGCTCTCTAAACTTCATGTTGTCCAGACTGAATATGGGCAATATGGCAAAAATAGAACATCACAATACTTTTTCTCTGAGGTTTGGGGTTGGAGGTGAGGGCTAGTTGAGTGAGAGTGAGTTGTGCACCCCTGGTACAGACTGAGTGTGTTCCTGCTGACCTGCTGACCCCTCAAACATACACACACAAAGTATATGGCATTTTGCACTCTGCGGTCCTCAGTTACTCTTATGTTATGATTCTTATACCCCTTATTATTACTGTTATTATTATTTAGTGTCATCAGGTCAGTTCCGACTCCTGCTGACCATATGGACCATATGTTTCTCCAGAATGCCCTGTCTTCTGTTTGGGTCTTCAGGCTTCTGAATGGCTGGTTAATGATTCCTCCGACTGTGTCCATCCATCTTGTTGCTGGTTGTCCTCTTCCTCTTTTACCTTCAGCTGCTCTGTCTTTTCTCAGTACTCCTTACCAGTTACTAATTCCTCAGATCAGAACTTAGTGTTAATAAACAAACAAACAAACAAACAAATAAATAAATAAATAAATAAATAAGCAAAATGGTGCATTTAACCATGTTTAAACAACTTATTGAAAAACCCATGATTTGTTCAAACATATTGAAGAGTTCTGCAGAGTGTATTAAAGTAAAGATGAGCATTTGGATCTGAATTGCATATTAAATATTTTAGATGAAATCAATTCTGTAAAAACAGGCCTGTTGAGAGTTGAAACTGTAAACGATGTTCCCTGACGCTTCATTCCTTCCTCAGCTCCCGTAATCAGCCCCAGCCTTTCATTTCCACTCGGCCGGCTGTTATTCAAAAACCCTGCTTCATTTCAGAAAGGAATGTAAGAAGATCTTCTTTTATCTGCTAGTTTGAACTAAATAAATGTTTTTCTCTCTTTTTTACAGACATGGAGAAGACATGATAGTGACCCCATTCGCACAGGTCAGTAAAACCTTTCAGAACATCGTGCTTCTTTGGTACTGATGCACATTTATAGGGTCTGTATCTGTGCATGAACTGTCGAATTCAAGTCCAACATTCTGCTGCAGGTCCTGTAAGCTGAGCTGTGTAACCTGGGTTTAGATTCAGGGTAAAAATAAGATCTTACATTTACAGTAATGCCAGACTTCCACTCTTTCAGGTCCTGGCCAGTTTGAGGACGGTCCGGAATAACTTTGCCATTCTGACCTACCAGCAAGATCGCGTGCCCGGCAAGTAAGCAGCCTGAAATCCTGAAATATATCACCAGATCAGAATAAGAGTCACTCTGTTCACTGTGTGCACTCACAACTTTAATACAAACACCTGCAAAAAAGCGCAAACGTTCATGACAAATTCATATCATATCATATCGTCCTGTACAGGAGATCCTCTGGAAACCCGTCCATGTGCAAAACGAGTCTACCAGGTCAGTCAGAACCCCTCAGACACTGAGCTCTTAAAACACAGGGAATCCTGCAGGAGTGATTCTAACAATGTAGTGTTATGCGAGTGTGATGGTGAGTTTCACTGACCAGTGACGTGACAGAGAGGTGTGTGTTGTGTAGAGGAGCCGGTGCAGCAGCTGGCGGTGGAGACGCTGGAGGAGCTGGACTGGTGTCTGGAGCAGCTGGAGACCCTAAAAACTCGAAACTCCGTCAGTCAGATGGCATCGAACAAGGTACCGAAACTTCAGCCAACAGAATTCAGGAAATGTTTCAGAGTGTATTTGATGGTCTTTGCAGGTTTGGGAGGGTTTAGCACTGTATTCCCTCACAGGTTCCTGACTACCTGTTAAATGTAGCTGTGACCTGATCACAGGATTACTGTAGTACATTAATGTAATCTCAGCACTATGTGGTACTTTAGATCTTGTTAAAGTCAGAATTAAAAAAACAACAATTCAAACAAGACTTTGAGAATTGGTTCTAACCACCGCCTCATTAGCTCTAAGACCTCCCCCTGACTGTGATTGGTCCTAATCACCTCTATGTTCGTTCTAAACCTCCCCCTGACTGTGATTGGTCCTAATCACCTCATTGTTTGTTCTGAGACCTCCCCCTGACTGCGATTGGTCCTAATCACCTCATTGTTTGCTCTGAGACCTCCCCCTGACTGTGATTGGTCCTAATTGCTAAGACTGCCCTGACTGTGATTGGTCCTAATCACCTCATTGTTTGCTCTGAGACCTCCCCCTGACTGTGATTGGCCCTAATCACTGAGACCTCACCCTGACTATAATTAGTCCTAATCACCACCTTGTTTGTTCTGAGACCTTCCCCTCACTGTGATTGGTCCTCATCACCACCTTGTTTGTTCTGAGACCTCCCCCTCACTGTGATTGGTCCTAATCACCTTGTTTGTTCTGAGACCTCCCCCTCACTGTGATTAGTCCTAATCACCTTGTTTGCTCTGAGACCTCCCCCTCACTGTGATTGGTCCTAATCACCTCGTTTGCTGTGAGACCTCCTCCTGACCGTGATTGGTCCTAATCACCACCTTATCTGGTTGTTACATCAGAGAAGAGCTCATTGGTCTCATACAGTGTTGAGGTTGTGATTCTCAGAGCAGGACTGTCAGGCTGTCTCTTCACTGACATGTGAATGCAGCTGTTCAGTAGCAGCTACATCAGAGTCGGAGTTCCTCCTCTCACCAGTTTAGTCAGTGTCGCTACAGCAGGAGCTCAGCAGTCAGATCAGAGTAGAGTTTAGCGTGTCTGTGATAGTCCGTCTCTATTAGTGTGTGTGAGCCGGTTCAGGTTTCAGGTTCAGACCTCCAGACACTGTAGATACACACTCAGTATCACACCTGCATTACAGACTTCAACGTGTTCATCTGCACTAATGAAGCAGCCCCATACTGATGCATCCTCTCTTACACTGATTCACTGCTCTCGTCCTGCCAGCCAATCAGACGGCTCTGTTCGGCTCCACCTCTTTTTTTCTCTGAGTGTTTCTGATTGGCTCTGAGGAGGAGCGCGTGGTGTGTGTTTACACACGAGAACAGAAAGAGAGAGGAGCGTGCGAGAAAGCGTAGCTGCAGAGAGAGAGAGAAGCAGTGAGAGTGCAGTCTGTATTTGAACTGAGGTGCAGAGTGTAGTGTGTATAGGTGTGTATTAGAACAGTGTAGCTGTGTTTGTGGTTGCTTCGCGATGCCGGACAGCAGGACGAGAAGGAGTGTTGAGGTAAGAAACACACACACACACACACACACACACACACACACACACACATAAACACACACACAGAGGAAGCTGCTGTGACTGTATTAGAGATGGTTTATCAGTATCAGCCTGATATCAGCAGAAATAAGGATGAATATGACCCACTGCTGTAACAGATCTCTCCTCAAACTCACTGAGTGATGTGATGCTGTTAGCTGTGTAGTTTGTCCTGTGGGGTTAACAGAGTGCCAGTAGTTTCAGCATCATAGACTACCTTCACATGATCAGTGTGAGTGAGGCGCTTTAAATATGTAAATATATTTAAATATGTATATATTACCCCTATAATTATGTTTCATGTCTGTCTATGCTGTCTAGTATGTCTATGTGCATTTGCCTTTATGTTAAATTTATGTTATAATCTACAATCAGAGTTGGAGAAAAGCGATCTTGTTCAGCTGTGGGCTCCTTGTTGTTTAGTCTGAATGACAATAAAGTTCAGTTTGACTTTGACTTTGAAATACATGATTTAAAAATTCAATTTAAGATTAAAAATACAACATTTTTAAAGATTTTAAAGAAATACTGAAAAGGTATCGCTATCAACTGATGCTGAGGGTTTCAGTATCTGTTTCGGAAAAACAGTAACGTTTGTTGTATGAATGTGTGTGTGTGTGTGTGTGTGTGTGTGTGTGTGTGTGTGTGTGTGTTTCATTGAGAGTCCTTCAGTGTGATTATGTAACTCACTCACTCTTCCTCGCGTCTCTGAGAGGAGCTCAGACTGTATTCACTGTGTATAAAACATTTCTTTTTCAGAACAGAGTATTTCACCAGCTTCAATATTCAATTATTTGTTAAATAAATGTGTCACTCTCTTTAGTATAGAGACACATCTGAATAAAACACTGTCTAAATAGTGGAAATATAAGCAGGAGTCACATTTACATTCATTACTACATTGTAAGGGTGTGCATAGTGATGATTTTACCATAAACTTAATAAATTACACCACAATATGCTTTTCTGAGTATATTGTAGATAAAATCAGCACTTGAAGATCACCAGCTGCATGTTTTGTTACAAAGAGAGCGCAGTTTCTCCAGTTTCTCCAGTTGAATAAAGAATTTAGCATTTTTTAAAATAAGGCATTACAAGGTTTTCATCTGTTCCAATTTATCAAAGCTCAGAAAAACTAAATATCATGATTTATATCATCCATCCATCCATCTGCAAAGCCGCTTATCCTTCTGGGTCTCGGAGGGTGCTGGAGCCTATCCCAGCATTCACTGGGCGAAAGGCAGGAAACACCTTGGACAGGTCGCCAGTCCATCGCAGCGCAGACAGACAGACATGATTTATATGATGAACTGTGAAAATGTCTTCAAGTACCATGGAATCATATCTTTGCCAAATTGCCCACACCTACTCTATTTACATGTAGAGGATTTGGCAGATAGTCTTAGTTTAATCTTGCCCATGCAGGGATGTCAAGATGTCAAGATACCCACAGGGAACATCTGTTTTGAGTGTAGTATTGCGTTGTTCAGTGTAAACGGTAGTTTTTTGATAGAGTTTGTGTGTTTTCGTTTGTCTGTCCCGCAGTTTAAAAGGATGCTGAGCCGTGAGCTCACCCAGCTGTCTGAAACGAGCCGGTCAGGAAACCAGGTGTCTGAGTACATTTCCAGCACATTCCTCGGTACGATTCACTCAACACTGATTGACACATATTTATATACTGAGGTCTTATTTACAACAGTTTCCTTCAAAACACTATACAGGTAAATCATGTAGTGTATGGACTGGTAAATTAGTGTGTTGTTGTTTCTTCATCTTGGCCGTCTTGTCTTTTGGGTCATGTTATTGGAGGATGCTGTACACCTGACAGCCTGGATAGGAGTTCTGTTCTTTTGCTTGTCCCTTAATAATGACATTAATAAATACAGTGCTAAATAATGTACCCTCAATATGTTTCCATAAGAGGTGGTAACAATGGAGTTCAGTAGAGGCAAGAAGCCAAAAGATGATGATGGTGGGAGAGTCAATGTGGTGAATGAGTTCCCCACAAAAAGTTGGTAGTGACAAAAACCTTTCAAGAGCAAGTCTTACGTCATTCTGAGAGTGGCTGACAATAGCCTAACAAATTCACTGTGGTTCAGACCACTGGAAATACACAGCAGCTATTAGCAGGGCCTCTTGGCCCTGACACCATCCAGGTAGCCCTTCCACTCTGGGTCATGGCTTGTGAGAATTTAACAGCATGCCATATGGACTCTGTGATAGACCAGTCATATTTAAAAGGCTTTTGGAGAAAATCCTGCATTATTTCCATTAATGACCTACTGGTACACACAGCTGATTTCCTTGATACCTTCAGAAATTTGGTGTGAAAATCCAGAGTGCCAACTTTTCACTCAACCTCAAGAACCACCACCTGTTGGAAAAGAAAGAATAGCAGTGGACCAAGCCAGAATCCAAGATTTGAGCAATCAGCAGATGATTGAGTGCTAAGAATATAGTTTCTTGGGATTAACCCATTATCACTGTTAAGCCCTTCCACAGAGAGAAAACCTTTGAATGGTCTGTCTCCTGCCAAGACACCTTTGAGAACGCACTCACCAACATCCTCATACTCGCCAGGGCATGCCAAGGAACTCCACAGTGATCAGGAACTGGACATCCAAAAAAACAGGACAACCCACTTTGCCCTAAGAATATAGGCTGCTCCACTCCATAGAGTCACTGTCCTGCATCAAAGCAGTTTAATAGCTGGTCAGGAACACCACACCACTGCCAGCATTCAACAAATGGGGAACTGTGATTATGGAACAAAGTGCATGAGTCCCAGGTGGAGGAACAAGTCTGGAACTACAATCCCCACTGCTACAAGGGAACCTTACAGCAGAGGTCCTCAATTCAGGCCCTGAAAGGCTGAAATCCAGCAGTTGTGATGTTCCTGATCAAACACACTTACTAAACCTAGTTACCTCCCAATGAGTGTTAATAGCTGTGTTAGTAGACTGACACTGATGATCCCTACACCATCGTCACAGGGTGCAGGGTCCATTGCAGCAGCTCCAGGGGAGCAGCACCATCAAATCACCAGAGTGTGCAGGAGCTTCTCAAGTGACAGCTCCAGCCCTGGGTCATGTTTCCTCTTAACCTCCAGAGAACTCAGCACTTAGGCACCCTCAACGGCACCCCCATCCTTCAAAAGACTGGGGACTAATCCCTTCATCCAGAGGGCAGTGAGCAATGTAGCAAAGTAGATGTTTTTCCTCTACATTGAGGGCTTTTCAGTTGATCCTAAAAAAAAGCTGTGAGTCTGTTGATTAGGAGTTCTGTAGGATATTGTAATTGTTAAATAAAGTGGGTATTAGCTTTGAGATCAGCATGTCCAGTCCATACAGCTACTTAAACTGACAGGCCTTATACTAAAAGATTTTAGTGATATTCTATTTGATGCTTTGCTACATATGACTGTACTCTGTTCTTCTGTTCTGCAGAAAAGCAGCATGACCTGGAGCTCATATCCCCACTGCCCAAAGAGAAGGAGAAGAAGAAGAGGCCGATGTCCCAGATCAGCGGCGTGAAGAAACCCACGTCCACACATAGCCGCAACGTGTCCATCCCACGCTTTGGGGTTAGCACTGACCAGGAGGAACTTCTGGCCAAGGTCAGTCTTTCTCTCTCTTTATTCTCAGATCCATGGAGTCTTTTAGAGCTACATAGATGCAAGTTTTCCCTGAGCAGATGAAGGGATATTTGAAGGGAATTGTGTGTCTCTCACCTACAGGAATTAGAGGAGATTCATAAATGGGGTGTAGATATTTTCAAGATATCTGAGTACTCCGGAAACCGGCCACTAACGGTCACGATGTACACTGTTTTCCAGGTAAATGCATGGTATTGTTACTGAAATTGCATTGTTATATTGTTATATTACAACAGTGCCAAGTTTCTTATTGTTTCCCTACCTTAAATCAACCTCTGTAGGAAAGAGACCTGCTGAAGACCTTTAAAATCCCAGCTGACACCTTTATTACTTTCATGATGGCGCTGGAGGAGAACTACCGTGCTGATGTTGCGTATCACAACAGCATCCATGCGGCCGACGTGGTTCAGTCTACAAACGTCCTGCTGTCCACTCCAGCACTTGAGGTACAAATGAATCATTCTGCCATTACTTGCTGTTTTTACTGACACAATTTGAAAGATTTTGGAAGAATGTGAGTGAATGAAATGTTGTTGTGAATGAAGTGTTTGAAATGTTTATTTTGCTTTGTTTATTAGGGTAAACCATTGTATGGATTATTTGAACATCATAGAATATTGCAGAGCATTTTTTCTTTAGTAAACAATACGTCAACTTCCATAATTGACGTCATAAACATCTAATTGACTTTGCCGAATAATCAGGTGTGTTTGAGCCAAGAAATCATCAAACTGGTGCTAGATCAGAACTAAACACCCTTGCTGTGTGAACTATGAGCCTAAAATTCATAAATCTATTTTCTAGGCTGTGTTCACTGACCTTGAGATCTTGGCTGCACTGTTTGCCAGCGCGATCCACGATGTGGATCATCCTGGAGTATCTAATCAGTTTCTAATCAACACGAGTGAGCAGTCATTTCTAAACTAACAAGTCATGTCAGTATTTCATATAGGGGTTACGTTTGTTGTTTTAAATTGTGCCTTTCTTCATCCCTCAGATTCAGAGTTGGCTCTGATGTACAATGATTCATCTGTGCTGGAGAACCATCACCTGGCTGTTGGCTTCAAACTCCTGCAGGAAGAAAACTGTGATATTTTCCAGAACCTGAGCAAGAAACAGAGACAGTCGCTGCGTAAAATCGTCATTGACATGGTGAGGGACCTCTATAGGCACGCTTATAAAGAGATAAGACAGGCAAAACCCTGTTATTTACGGATTATTTTCTTTGGTCCATCAAAGGTCCTGGCCACAGATATGTCCAAACACATGAACCTGCTGGCGGATCTGAAGACCATGGTAGAAACCAAAAAAGTGACAAGTCTCGGGGTTCTCCTATTGGACAATTACTCGGATCGTATCCAGGTATTGTTTACTTGTTTGTTTGTTTATGTCAGGAGTGCCTGTTCCTGGTCTTGACAATCAACCACCCAGATCCAACACACCTGGCTGTAATATTCAGATGCCTTTGAAGGATCAGGTGTGTTAGATTAAGGTGGAGCTAAACTTTCCAAGGTGGTAGATCTCCAGAACCAGGATGTCACACCAAGGCCTTGGAGGAACTTTACTTCATTTAGCGAGAAATCAGATCTACACAATGTTTCTCCACACCCTGAATGTTGTTGATCAGCCAAGACATGTTTATTAGCATGGAGTTAACTGCAAGCCCAAATCATCACAAACTCACCCCAAAACCATGCAGAGTTGTTTGGTAATCTCTGATAGACTTGTTTAGTTTAAATATTACACTCTATTATTTTAAAGGTCCTTCAGAACATGGTGCACTGTGCTGACCTCAGTAACCCCACCAAGCCTCTGGAGATTTACCGTCAGTGGACTGACCGCATTATGGTGGAGTTCTTCACCCAGGGAGACAGAGAGAGGGACAGAGGGATGGAGATTAGCCCCATGTGTGACAAACACAACGCCTCCATCGAGAAATCACAGGTCAGTGTCCAGTTGGTCTGCACAGTGGCTTCAGATAGGAATAAGACATACACTGACGTGCCAAAAGTCATGGGATAGCAGTATGCAAATTGATTATGAAGTAGTGTTACCTCAGATGTCGGCTTGGGAACAGGTGTGCAGGTATTTAACGTTCCTTGATCCACAGTGTCACATGTGTACCGGGAATACATCATAGAAGGCATTAGCACCCACAGTGGACAGTGCAGTGGCCGCCCATGGGTGCTTAATGATCGTGACCAGCGTCTAGCTAGAATTGTTCATGCAAACAGACAAGCGACTCTGGCAGAAATCACATTCACATTCAATGCAGGAAGACCCACACGCATATCCCACAGGTCAATGCAGCGTTCTTTAGTTTCCATGGGATATGGGAGCAGAGGACCCACCAGAGTCTTGACTGCCTTAAGTTGTCCAGAATTGGTTCAAGGAGCATTTTGGAGAGTTCCCACGAATGATGTGGCCTGCATGTACGCCCAACATGAGCCCAATCGAGCATTTATGGGATGTGGAGGAGAGGTCCATTTACACCCGAAATCCTGCACCTACTTACACCACAGTGCTGTGGGTAGCTATCCAGACGGCATGGCTCAACATCCCTCCAGAAATCTTTTGTTCACCTGTGGAA